TGGTAGTCTTCTTATCCCATGACTTGAATTTGGGATCCATCGCTCCGTTTGCTTGAAAATAACCAGAGTCAGGTGACTGAATCTTCCCTTTTTCCATTTCAGTATGGTCCTAATAATTTGAGACCATTTGAGGTAGTTTTTTCCATCTAACCTATAAGCGGAATGGATATTTTGCAGTTCTCCAACCGTCTGGATTCTGTCCCCAGTTTCCAAGTTCACCACTTCCGCCATGACTAGGTGCACTCACGATAAGCAATGAAGGCTTGACGGTGGCACACAACAATTGGCACATGGACACAACAATATAAAGGCCTTTTGGCACAACAAATAAAGGATGGTGAATGTTTTAGGTTTTATTTTTTTTAGTTTGATAAAGGTTCAAGCAGCAATAAAGCTGCATTTCTGCGATCAGAATAAAACTAACACGGTGTCAGAGACTCCCACAGAATCGGGAAGCTCTGATAGCTCTGATACCATGAGCGGAGACTCTGATACATTTCAAAAGTAGGTAAGACTAGAATAAATACTGTCTTATTATTGCTTATGAGGGGTTGTTAACACTCTATTTGTATAATAAGTCAAGCAACATATTTTAGGAAATAGCGGGGCTGCTCCTTCACTGGAAAATCCCCTCCTAACATTACGGGATCAACAAACATAAATAGCCATTATGGCAACACACCAGCCAGTTACGAAAGAAAGTCACCCAGCAGTTACAGAAATACAGCACATTTAAATAAAAGACTTCCTAAAATACACTGTGCCAATTAATACCACTCCAATCACGGTTTTGACACTTCCCACTGAACTAGATGTCGCTGAACTTGCTTTTGTCCCTGAAGAATCTGAAAGAGTGATAGGTAGTGGTGTGTGAGGTTGATTATGGTCGCCTTTACATGATTTGAGTTGTGAAACAAGAAATACTAGATGGATGGTAATAGTAGTGGTTAATAATAATTTATAAGCCACTTGGGAAAGGGCCAAAGTATCTTAATCCCAACTTTTGATTCTTTCTCAAAGCAACTGAATTTTGTCTGTATGGCTGTAATTTAACCAAAACCATGTCACCAACCTTGAATTCAAGATTTGATCTCGTTTTATCCGCGTACTTCTTCATGTGTTCCTGAGCCTTGTGGAGATTAGCTTTCAATTTAAGAAGAATCTGATCTCTCTCAACCAACAGTTCTTGGACAGTAGTAGGGTCTTTTGCATCAGGAATGTACTTAGTTAAATAGGGAGGATCTTGACCATAAACTGCCTTAAAAGGCATCATGCCAGTGGTAGTATGAAAAGCAGTATTGTACCAGTACTCCACCCAAGGAAGTAGTTTAACCCAGTCCCTGGGAGCATCATAGGTGAAACATCTTAGATACATTTCAAGACTTTTATTAAGAGCTTTTGATTGGCCATCTGTTTGGGGATGGTAGGTGGTGCTCATGTTAAGTTTTGTGCCACTTAACTTGAAAATTGTTGCCAAAAATTGCTAGTAAAGGCTTTGTCTCGATCTGATACAATAGTTTTTGGGAACCCATGTAATTTAATCTCTGATTTCATGAAAAGTTCAGCAACCATCTTACTGGTATAGTCAACCTTTAAAGGAGAAAAATGAGCAGATTTTGACCAACGATCTACTACCACCAAAATGATTGTGTTTCCTGTGAAGGAGAAAGACCTGTGATGAAGTCCATGGACAAATCTTCCCATATATGATTTGAAATAGGCAGAGGTTTCCAGTAACCCAGCAGGTGAAGAAGTCACAGCTTTAGCCTGTTGACAGATTAAACAATTTTTTACAAACTCCCTGATATCATTGTGCATTCCCTGCCAGTAAAATTGAGCAATAATCCTGGCTAGAGTTCTTGTAAATCCAGCATGCCCTCCCAATAAAGAACTATGGAATTAATGCAAAATTTGATTCACCAATTCATGTTTATGTGGAATAAAAAGTCTTCGTTTCCAATACAGCAACCCATCCTGCTCTGTATAATTAGGATGAGGACTTTGGTTGTTCAGGCACAACTCAATTGTATTCTTAAGATTTTGATTTTGGTAAATAAAATCCTTAAGGGTAGATAAGATCTCCAATTTGAGTTGAGACCAAGCCATTAAAAAGGATCAGGATAAGGAATCACCAGCAACATTTTCCTTTCCAGGTTTGTATTCAACTGTAATCAGTACAAAATCTCCAAGTGCAGCTTTTTTTTAACTAGGATGACGGGAGAGGAAAAAGGACTTGTACTAGGTGCTATGATCTCTTCTTTCAACATGTTAGACGCTATGATTTCAATTTGTTGTTTTTGGCTGTGAGGGTACCTATATGGTCTTACCTTCCCAGGTCCAGCCCCAGGCAGCAAGAGAATTGCTTGGTCGTGTGACCTAGGGGTAGAAGGGTGGGGGTGGGGGGCTGGGTGTTGGTGTGGGGTGTTATGGGGTGTTAAACCTGAAGGTGTAGCAAAAACATCCATGTAAATTTGCAGCAATAAAGCTATTCCAGGTTCAACAGTAGTAGGAGTATCCAACCACTGATCTGCAGGACGAATTGGTTGTTGCAGCTGTAATGTAAATAACTCCATACCTGAGCTTTGCTGCGTTCTTCTTAATTGATGAAATTGTGCAGGCCATTCATATAAAACTTGATAGTGAGAGCACTGTAATCAAATATATATGGTCCTAGTGTAGCAAGCCAAGCCGTCCCAAGTACTAAATTTTCTCCAGATATTGGTAATTGTTGAATATAATAAAACTAGGTATAAGATTAATCTCCCTTATGTAGAAAATATACATAAGATAATATATTCATAATAGTGAGAATGGCTAAGCCCAAATACAAATGAAAATGTAAAAATAACATAAGTAACATAGGAACTATGTTTCCCTAATTAACATAAAATGCAATATATCTAACATTCCCCCTCAAGCGGGTGCATATAAATAGTCTGTACCAAGCTTTTACAAATATATTCAATTCTCAGTCTTTATAAAGACTTAGTGGAAATATCTGCTAACTGATCATTTGAGTTGACAAACTCAGTCTTAATATCTCCAGATATAATCTTCTCTTGAATGAAATGAGAGTCAATCTTAATGTGTTTGGTCCTCTCATAAAAGACAAGATTAAAACTTATATGAAGAGCAGCTTGATTGTCATGCAGCAATAATACAGAGACAAAAGATAAACAAGAGGACCTCTGAGAAGAAAACAGAAGGAATTCCAAGGGAAGAAGATTTGTCCACCAACAACCCTTTACACACCATCATCTTATATATTGCAAACATATTCTTGTAGGTGCACGTTGGTTTTCTTGGGACGTGCACTAATTCTCTTTCCTCTTTGCTCTAAATTTGCTGCCCTATGTACAAGGCCATCCAAGTTTCTTTCCGTGCCACTAAGAATTCCCTCTTCTACCCCTATTATCGTTCTCTTCATAACAGTTTCTTCACCGCTTGAGTGTTTTTTTAGATGATAAAAGGTTTCACAAATTATAGCAAGGTCCTTCCCATCCCCCCCTTGGAAAAAAAAAAAGTCCTTTCAAGAGAGAACACATGGCTATAGCTTGTTTTGATGTCACACTAGGGTCTGCTAAAGTGTAAGGCCATGGTGTCCTTTTTCAACCACATACCAAGAAACCTATTCTAAAGTTGACAAGAAAAGAAGGTATTATTACTTCCAAACACTAAATTACCAGCATTTGCCCAGAGGAAGTTTCGTTATTCCCATCAAACTCGGACAGAACATCAAAAGCATGGAGTTTCCAGTCCAAAGTTTGTGTGACAACAACACTTGCCAAGCAAACATAAGCATGAACCTGCAACAGGCAAAGCTTGTCAACAAAATAACAAAACAGTAACCAGAGAGCATAAAAACCATATTTATATTAGCTCATGAACACTCACGAGCTTACAATCGTTATTTAAGAAGCTCACAGCCTTTGCTATTTGATGCAGGCCCCAAGCATAATATTCATCCCTACAACCACGATAAGGAGTAAAATATTATAAATGGATACTATTTACTCTATTCAAAAACCAATTCATAAAAAATAACAAAATCAGAATCAAATTCAAATTCAAAGCTTTCATCCTGCATTATTTCAATTTAATGTTACACTCGAAATCATGTGCAATGAAAGTTGCCAATCAATGCTTTAGCAACTGAAGCACATCATGAAGCAGAAACTGCATTGATACCTTTGGGTACCTTCAAGACCTAGCTCCTTAATCTTGTCTGACAGCGGCATCACAGGCTCGGTCACCATATAAATTGTAACCTTGGGAGAACCAGCATCAACAGTTTCAACCTCTGTGCTGTGAAGAAAAGATAAAATATTCGGATGCCTAACCTGAAACGGTGCACCATCAAAAAGAGAAAATCATCCAAAATTTGAAACCCCGCAGCAACACAATACAAGCAAAGCTTACAGTGCGTAGACGCTTAACACCATTACGACCCGCAGCTAAATGTCCATCCTGAGCATTGCTCCCAGACAGAGAAAATATTGACACTGGAGAACCATCATCCTGAAACCAAAACCAAAACCAAATTAACGCCAAATTAGTTAGGTATAGCTCCAAAATGAAGCTAACATTGGCCTAAACATTATGCACGTATAATTGGACTTAGGAGTTACTCGTTCAGGAATAAGAAAAATAGGTGACATTGAGTTACCTTGGAGGTGCCGCGAAAGTGAAGCCACGAACCCCAAGCAGAAGCATAAGGTTCACCGATATTGTATGGAAGATCTTTGAGGCCGGTGCCAGATCCAGCCACCACCTCTTTCAAGAATTTGAACATTGCTTCGATCCACGATCACAATTCTGATCTGATCACTGATCAACCACGCATGCTACTACCTATAATAGCTATAACTCTTGCTACCGTACCGTTTCAGGATCAGAAACATATAGCACTCTTCCTCAATGTAATGCAAAACGAGGAGGAGAAATTGAAGCAACTAGCATCGTTGAAGAGGGAAATGCAAATGCTGCCACCTTCGCTTTACGTGCTTTCTAATTTCTTATCTTCCCATAAACAAACATATGTTAACTTTCGTTGTTTATATTTTTTTATTTTACTAGATAAATTATTTAATTGGGTTATTTCTCTCTCCATGACCTTTTTCTTCTTCTCCAATGAATTTACCAGAATAAATTCTTGTAAAACAAGTAACAACAACCGTTACCGTGACACGATACCATCTAATCATTTGATTGAGCATGTCTAATTTTTTTATTTTACCTTGTGTAATTTATTTTATGAAGATAAAAATAATTTGGCTCGCACTATTTACGGAGTGCGCTAGATAAATATGTTTCGTAATTTTAGGATATTTTTTATGTGCAAGACACATAAGTTTGAGTTACCTCTCTTGGCAAAAAGCGTTAATAAAGAAAGACCTCTATTGTTATTTATTTGTGATCGTGAAAGAAGTTTAATTTAAATCATATGGTAAATAGAAAGACAATGATCATTCCAAATGCCACCCAATGATAAAAGAGCAAGGTTGGTGCATCTTGAAGTGATTTGCATTTTATATTTTATATACGTGTTTTTATAAACGGGAAAGGTTTCATGCAAACGTATATTACCACAAGATCAAATTTATAATCGGGTTTGCCCAATTGGACAAAAGTAAACCAAAAACTTAAACATGTTTGGTCCATTATTATGCAAAGAGAATCAAGACCCAGAGCATCAGTAGTCTAGAAATTGAAAAACTAGTATTTTACAGATCAAATTTTCACGGTGAACATTCATGTTGTACATTCCTCTGAATGTCAAACAAAATGTGCCCTATTACTATATCAAATGAGATCAGTGAGATGGTTTCTTTAAACATTTCGGAACATTCATGGCATTTCCTTATTCACAAGGAAAGAGGGGGGAGTAGCTTGATATCACTAGTTTTTGAAAGTTATGTCCTTCAACTGCAGAGAGAGAATACGAGCGAGGATATGAGGAGGGGGTTAAAGACTAGCTTTGAAGATTAAATTCATCCCCTAACAGTATATTATTTAACCCAGAACCACTAGTAAATAGAACTAATGAATCTTTACCAAAGAGGGTAGAGTTATATCCATGGATCAGAAGAAGTTTGTGCATCAGTACTTAAGAAAATGTTAAAAAAATTAAGTGCAACGTGATACATATGGGCATACTCATATCGGGGAAATCCACATAAAAGGTTTGTATTAAACATTCTTCACGGGCTGCTTGTTTTCTGTTTGGCCTTCTCAATGAGGGGCTTCAGCTGCTTCTTCTCAGCAAGAATCTTTAGAAAGTTAAACAAAAAGGGTATGTAGTTGTGTTTCCTACGAATATTTTCTGTTTTCCATTTTTTGAATTTTTCTTCCTCCATCAAGATCTTCTCAGTAGCAGCTTCAATCCCAGCATTCACTTCAGAGAGGGAATTGTTCAGTGCCTCAAAATTGCTATTGTCCACCAGTCTATCCGACTTTGATGCTGCCAGCTGCTGCAAAATGCGCTCCCTCCTTTTCTGAAGCTCCTTCAGCTCAGCAGTGTACATCTCTTTCCTGTTTTTGATGACTGCCAGGAGATTAAATCTTATCTCACTTTGGGAATACCTTTCAATGCGCTCCTGTATCATAGGCTGCACCATCTTCAGCCATTCCAAGTCACCTTGCCCACCAGAGCACTGACCAAGGCTGATAGGACCCTCCTTCAATCCATCCAGCTCGTATAACACCCCATCAACAGGTAGATAGCTTATGAAATGGTAAACATCATCATCTTTAGTTGCAACTTTTTGCTCGTCAGGAACAAAAGGTTCTGGCCTAGCAAAGCTATTATGGGCTGTTCGTATGGCTTCACTGTTATTGATAGCCAAACCTTTTAGTTCAGGAGGAAAGTTCTTGGTAAATTCTTTCAATTTTGTCAGCTCCGGACCAATGTCAATATCTGGTGAATTCATAAGAATGGACAAGATCGCTTGGGTTGCACAAGCATTATTTATTACCTACAAATCAACCACGAGATCAGTAAAATCACGCAGAGAACAATTATGATTTTATATTTCAATTATTAAAATAGTAACAATAACCTGGCTAGCAAAAAACAAGTTAGGGTTGGGATCTTTGATTACAACTCGGTCATCCTTTTCTCCTGGGCGCCATTTGAAAAGAAAAATCAACCCATAAACAGGCCTGAAATCAAGGATAAAATCCCCAGACAGATAGAATTCAAACATTCACAAATTAATCATCACAACATATGGAAGTTCAAGACTAGCTGAAATAGCACACCAACCTTAGACTGTTGAGCGAGTCGATGTCCAAAGAATATAGTTCCTCAACCTGCCAAGACAAATGTGATTGAGGATAGCATGCACAAAAATTATTCTAACTAGAACCAAAAGGAAAAATAAATTGATTTTGCTAAGCCCTGTAATTAATCAGATTTATTTTGGATCACAAAATTTAACAAATTCCATGGTCATCGAATTGAAAAATTCAAATTGATAATTTTCTAGTAGTTTTCAGTCTTATATTAACAGACTCGGAATAATTCCAAAAAGCCATGCCCTGAATTTGGCAAGAAATGGCAATCAACAATGTGCTTTTAACTAATGCCCAGGAATATAAATCCTTTTTGACAAGGTAAAAGCTTTCTCAAAGGACATGCAGACGTAGAAAGCCAGTCCATTTTCCCCGTCCACTTCTACAGCATAATTTTTCATTTTCCCTATAGGTTATACTTCCTTGTTCGAAAAGAAAACCCACGAGAAATCTAATTTCACCTCCTCACAAACCCTTTAATTTTACAAAGGTCGTCTTCTATAACTCTCACTTTTTATTCCTATTAGATTGACCTGCAGCCCTTTTCCTTATCTATGCTCATCTACCATGAGATGAACTTTTAAGATTTCTGTTTGAGCAGACAGTGTCCTTTTACTTGGAGGGGTTTGGAGGTGCTTCTGATGGTTCATTCATTACAAATTTTGAGAAAATAAGGAGGCTGACATTTTCGAGACAGTATGTGAAGTCTACAGGTGAATTTGGTTGGAGCAAATGCTTGCATCTTTAAGAAAGTCTCTTTACTGCTAAAATTATTACAGGATAGGTTGTGTTTATCAATTCTAATTGCCGTTGAATAGATTCATGATTGCTTCAAGGGAGTTAGCCACATTCCGAAAATAACTTGGCAACCTTTTCCCTTGATGCTTTCTTTATTTTGTTCATCTTCCTTTTGTATCATTTTACCAGGTTTGGAAGGTACTTTTAGCTTGCCCTGGTTGTATTCTCCCTCCCTTCTCTTCAACAGGTTATTAACATTATTATAGATGCTAGTATACAATAGAATGCAACACAAAGACTTCGCCCAAAAAAAAAAAAAACTGAATAAAAGTACTAACAAATAGAAAAAATTGCCAATTAAATATCTCTCTAATGTCGATACTAAATGCCAACCAAACATGTTCGTGGGAATAATATTCCCAGGAATGCAACATTGCGCCTTGAAATAAGCAGGGGAGGGTAATTTATTAATTCCAAAGTAACACGGTTATGCAAAGTTCATAAAAATAAACTAATTAATCTATCATGTTATTTTAAAAAATAATAAGTAAACTTGAGAATATTTATCAATTTATCAAAAATAAAAACAATTGTTGTCCCCTTCAAAACCCAATTCCCAACCACTTCCCTAGGAAGCAAAATCTCCTAAACAAGATACAAAAACCAACATCCCACACCAAGGCCAAGCTAAATACAACGAAAAAATAAATAAGTCCAACAAAAATACCTGTACACCTTTCACTTGCATTTGCTGAATAAGCTCTGTAAACACGCCTGGGGAAAAAAAGAAGCAAAATCAACTCTAAAACAATGTACCAATCAACATCTATATCAAACAAAATACTGCATGAACGGTGAACCCTAGTAAAAAAGCCATTAACTTTGCATACCAGGATCGGACTCAATGGTGCACCAAGACATGATTCTGAGTTGTTAGAAGCAACCTGCGAAATAGAAACGGAACAAGAACTGAAATTCAGGTGTACGATTCTTGAAAAGAATAAGGTTAATTTCAGTTTCGCTTATCGCCACAGAGAAAAACAAATCTCATTCCTAATCTTCTCTCAGTGAACCACAAATATTCCACATAGATAAACGAAACGACGCAAAGAATGAATGGTTTTAGCAATAAAACGACAGAAAAGAGATAAAGGTTCCTGGGTTGCTTACTCTCTCTCCCTTTGATGCCCCTGCTGGGTTAAGGGCTTTGCTTCCACACTGTAATTTCAGTCCTTTCCTTTCTTTTCTTCCATTCTCCACACTGCCAAGGGTTTATACAACACCCACGCCATCACATTATTCAATTACACTTTTTTAAATATAAGAAAATAATTATAAATAAATGTTTTTAATATATTAATTGTATTTAAATTTACACTAAGTAGTTTAAGTTGAAAGGATATCCAAATATATGAATGAATGCATGATAAAAAAAATGTAGTTTAAAACAATTTACAACAAAGTCTTTTTAGAATTTAGAGATAATAAATTCGATAAAATAATGATATGATAACATACTTTTATAAATTTTGTATTTTTTTAAAGAGAAAAATAAAAAATAAATAAAAATAATATCAAATAAATGTAAAAAATTTAGCTCTCAAATAATATTTTCCAATTGGATAAGATTTTGTTTCAAAACATCAACGAATTTCATACTATTTTATAGTAGAATTATAAATGTATGTTCCTATTAAAATTTATACAATTTTCTTTAAAAAAAATATGCGATTCTAAAATACAGTGTATAAGTACATTCATCATATAATCAGTGGAAACAGGTGGCTGAAGGAGTGGACGTTCATTTTTGGTGACGGTAGTAGTTAGTGTCAAATTTTCAAATGTTGTGCCATTTCTCTGCATGTTTACCTTCTTCTCCAAATCTCTGAAACCATTTTCTCCTCCTTCTCTCTAAGATTTCTTCATCTTCTCTCTACGAAATCTTACTATTTTCTTCCTCCGATCATCAAACAGACCACACCTGAGCATTCCCGGCGTCGAGGGCGTTCGTTTGAACCGATCATTTTTCGATTCCGAGCGGGTAAGTTCATCTCTCCCTCAACCGTGTGGTTTCCTGGTCATGCAACCTAAGTTCTGGTTTCATGTGTTGATCACTCTTCTAAACAGAGCGATTCTGATAGTGTTTTGATCTTTACTTGATCTAGTTTCGGAAGTTGTCGAGCGTTGAGGGTAGAAGGATTTGTAGAGGTGAACCAGTAACCATATCTATGAGTGTTCGGTCACATTAAGAGGTAAGGGAAGCTTATATAATTTGATTTAGATTCTTGCTTTGAATGGATGCATGTTCATTGATTGCTGAATGAATATGAAAAATGGTTGTTACTGCATTGTTGACTGTATGAGAAACTGGAATGAGATTGTGTTTGATGATTTGGTTGATGATGAAATATGGTATGTTGTTTAAAAGTATTGATGATTAATGAAAGACATGAAATTGGTAGGGATGTTGTCGAGAGTCAATATTGACCATTCAATTATACAAGCGTTTGTTCTCATTAGCGTTCGTTCTTAATAAGTGTTTGGTATTAGACCAGCGCTCATTCGATATAGTGTTCGGTTTTCTTGTGGACTCGGTTGGAACTGGATTCTTTCGTTTGGAGAGAGTTCTAGTTGAAGACTAGCGTCTTCGCTTCGTTTTGTAATATTTGTACTTAAGCGTTCAACCAAGGATATTCGTTCCTTGGTATTTGATTATAAACTTCGGTATATCTATATGTATTTGTATATTTCGTTCGTTCTTGAACATTAGTTAAATGATATCTTATATTTATCAAGCCTTTATTTTATAAATTAAGTAGTGTTCGGTCTTACACCAATCGCTCGTACTATGTAGTGCTCGGTCTTACACCAAGCGCTCGTACTAAGTAAGTGATCGGTCTTACACCAGGCGCTAGTTCTCATTTCCGTAATCTATCTTTATAATAAGAGCGTTCGTCCAAACTCAATAATGTTCACTCTCTAGAGTGCTCGATCTTCGACTGACATTCGGTTTCCTTGATGTTTAACTCATTAAGAAGCTAAGTATTTATTAGCATTCGGTTTCTTCATATGATTTCGTCAAGTGCTATTATTTGATGTCCTACAATATCTGTCTTAATTGGTTTCGGCCTAGAGTCTTAGTACTCGGCCTAGGCTTTACGGTGTTCGGTTTGAACTCTCAAGAGTCAGTTCATTAAATTGGCTCACTTGGTAAACAACATTCGATTATATTAGTATCTGAGAAGTATTATTATATTCGGTCCTTTTCACAACTAGTGAGTAACTCTCTCAATTTGATTATCTTTGAGTTGGAGACATCGCGGTCTCACTCCAAGTGTTCAGTCTTGTTCTGGATAAAAAAAACTAACGTTCGGTATTTGGTATCCTACGAGATCTTTATTCAAATTGGTTAAGTTGAAGTTTTAATGATGAAAGATGATGGAATATGATATAGATGAAATGACTTTGATTATGAAAGAGTAATCCGGGGAGGAATATCTCATGAATGGATATTGAAATTGGTAAAGTATGAATGTGGGCACGCTAAGCTGGCGGATCATCCTAATATTCCGTGATTACTCGTTCTCACGTAGAGAAGGGTAAGTCATGTGTGGGAATGGCAGGAGGTCCTAGTCCTTATGGTTAATTTGGACAGATAGGACTAACCTCGGGTGGCAGCTGGTGAGGGTATCCCAGTTACTACATCACCCGAGTGCACGAACATCGTAGCTACACAGAATTCATAAAGTTCGGACAGTCAGAGTCTAGTATTAGGCTTTGCATGAAAGAGTTAATTATTTATCTTGTTTAGTTGATTGTGTGAAATATATGTTGATACATGAATTAAATTACATAAGCTTACCCTATTTCCTGTCTTGTCATGTATTCCCGTTTGTTCGTCATTGTCATTGCGACGATCACCCTATGGGTGGGAGCAGAAGGAGAAGAGTTGCTGGAAGAAGCGTTGGAAGAGACCGACGTGAAGATCGAACCTTAAGACGCTCGGTCAGTTGTTGGCCTACTCTTTTGTAGGAGCGTTCGATCATGCGTTTGCTTTATCTTTTGATTTGACCGTTCAGCATAGGAAGGGTTATGAGTCGTTCGTCTTATATTTGTAGCCATTTGTGCAGTTTTAATTCTATGCTATTTTTGTAAGGTCGTTCAGCCATAACCGTAAGTCCTATCTTTTGTAAAAATTGAGCTGTAATATTATTATATGTGATCTTTCTATTACACGGTTTTACACTGTATTTTTGGGATGTCACATTAATAATTTTAGTTTTTTATTAAAGTGGTGTATTTTTTTTAAATTTATAAAAAAAATCAAAAATAAATAAGTCAAATCAAGGTGACAAGATTTCGTTGTAAAGAAACTGTGTCAAGTTAACATATCTTTAGTTTAAAACATTTTTTGAATCAAAATTGTATTAAGATTTTCATACTATTTTAAGTTAAAATTATGTCACGTTGACATAACTTCTATCAAAATTAAATTAAAATTTTATAAGTTTTGTATGACTTAATTTTAAAATACACTAGATTAAAATCGTATTTCATTAACATAACTTAAATTTAAAAATGTTTTACATTAAAGTTGTATTATCATGAACTTTTTCACAATAAAATCATGCAAAGGTGGGTTTTATACTTTGAAAAATTATCCATTTTGAAAAAAAAAAACACTAGCTTAATTTAAAAAACCTATTATTTGTCCCTATATAATGAAATTGAGTTTGAACACTTTATTTCTACAGTATATTTTTTATGTAAATATTATAAATTTATAATTACATTTAAAATTTACTAATGGTGGTTTAAATTTGAATTTAAGATTATTTAAATTGTAAATATTTTTAGAGCATTTTTTCATTTATACGTTAAGGTTTCAAACAAGAAAAAAAAACATTTCACTGGATTATTGTAGTAGACCAGGATGACAAATTTTGTTTAAGCACTCATGCAGACTATAAATTTATGTTTTAATTGTTATACTTAAAAAAAAAAGACTATCCATATTAATATCTACGTATACCATTTTATTTCAAAGCATATTATAATATTTTTAGTCCCTACATTACTTTTAATCTTTGATAATCCCTACCATCTAAAATAGATTAATATATGTAAACAATAATTTTTTTTAATTATAGAAATAAAGAGAAATTTTTTCTTCAATTATAAATACAAATAAGTTTTTATTTTTTAATGATAATTTTAATTATTAGTATTTATTAATGAAAAAAATTAAATCCACAGCTTCTTACATATTTTTTTTTCAAACTAATTTTATAACTCTAGATTGTTAATAAAAGAAGTTGAATCGACAACCTCCTTTATTCTCCATTCTAACGTAACTGTTAAATCATTTTCATACCTCTTATAAACACAAATAAGTAACTTAACTAGATAAACTTAAAAGTCTCTCAAAAAGATAAAATTTTATTTAATTGAAATGGTTATACAATTTAAATTACCTGTAATAGATAAATATATATCTATAGGTATCATGATGGCACATTATTTATCATCAACGCACCAGTGGAAATATCGATTTTTTATATATGTTAAAATCCACTCAGTGGCAATTTTGTAAATATGAAAAACTTGTTTACACTAGTTATAATAAAAACAAGTATAAAAAATAATGAACAATATTGTAATAAAATACAAATATTTAACACCGATTGTCATCCGAATAAGTATAGAAAATCCTTTTTTCTACACCGGTTATCCTATAACAAGTATAAATTATCGATCTACAGCAGTTAAATAGTATAATCAGTGTGGAATATTTTACTTCTATGCAAAAATTCATTCATTCGTTGTCATTGTTCTTGTTTGGTCGTCCAGGTGGTTGGATGAAGCTCGCTCATCTTAGCATTTGAAGTTGTTCCCTCACTCAACATTCACATCTTCTTTGCCTTATTTTCTTGAACATCATAGAGCATTTCTCGCGTCGTCTTTCTCGAGATTTCAATGGCTCGAGAACTCATCCTTCACCATCAGAGACCATCTTCCTCACCTTCAGGTTAGGGTTTCTCCCGCATTTCCTCATTTTCTCATATTTGACTGATTAAAACTTCATTTAAACACCATTTCACCTTCGATCTACATCTTCCACCGATTATAATCACATTCTACCCATTATAATCCCTTTCCACCGTTTAAAACCCCTTTTCCACCAATCAATCGGTCCATTTTAGGGTTCCTTGGTTCCTTTAGGGTTTTGCCTCGTTTAAAACCCCTTTCGACCGTTTATAATCCCTTCCCACTGTTTAAAACACCTTTCGAGATCTCTTTATCATTTTCATCATTCCCCTATGTTCATCGGAGAAGCTTCGAGGAGGTCAGATTCGCGGTCGCGTAGCTCCAGTAGGACTTCTCCTCGGGTGTTGGCTTGTGTTAGAATATTTATCCTATTTATCATGATTATATTGTGTCTAGGGTTACCCTATTTATCATGATTATATTGTGTCTAGGTTACTTTATTTATCATGATTATATTGTGCCTAAGTTACTCTATTTATCGTGCCTAGGGTTACCCTATTTATCGTTTAAGTTACCCTATTTATCATGATTATATTGTGTCTAGGTTACTCTATTTATCATGATTATATTGTGTCTTGGTTACCCTATCTATCATGTACTCTTTATCAATTTATTTTTATAAATAGAAGATTATGAGAGGGATCAATCAAACTCTCAAGAATTATTTTACAGTTTAATTCTCAAGTTGGTATTAAAGGAGGTTGTCTGAGTCTCTTCCTACTCTGTCTTTGTTGTCACCGGTGGCTAGTGCCGCCACCGGTGACATTAAAAATTTCATCTTTTCTGAAATACTTCAATGAGCAATCCCATTGTCGTCTACCACCATCCGCTGCCTCAGTATAGTTCGACGACTAGTGGATCTGGATCGCCTCCTTGAGCGACGGCCAATATCGCCGGTGTCGAGGGCTAGTTCTCATCCAGGCGCCGCTACGTCTGCCACATCTATTCGACGTCTGCCGCCACCATCACGTTTTCTTTGACAAAGTTAGGGGTTTTGTCGCCTCAAGGAGCGTGACTCATTGCCTCATTCTCCTCCACATGCATTGTCACGAACGACTTTTCTCTGATCAAGTTTCGGTTTGTTACAAGTCACCTCCCCAATGTCAAAATCATATTGCGTCGCTGCCGTTCGTCTCGTTGGACCAAAATAAAAAAATATTCTTTGTTTCAGCATTGTTCCTTAGCCTCTTTCATAATGTGCGTTTAGCTTTGCATATTGTAGCAGCTATGTTCATGATGGCTTGTGTCATTTATTTACAAGTCCCCAAGGAGAGTTAGTGCTAATAGTTGGTTAACACCAAGGAATTTCAACACCAAAGTCATAGGTTGAAGATTCCTCATGGCATGAGGAGAGTCTATTTCTATCAAGATTCAGAATCTTAGTCAAATAATTTCACCAGTCCCTTGTCAGATATGTTTTTGGATGCTTTGATGAATAAAAGAGACCATTATGATCTTCCACCTTCACGATTTGTCATCGGCGCGTTGTCATTTTCGTCGTTTGCCGTGAGGGGAGTATGTTTCCAGCAACTGCATGTCAATGAGTCAGTGATGGTAGTCCCTGCACTTTTGTCCTTTCAGCCACTACAGGCCCCATCACCTCGTCAATCAGTAATGACAATCCTATAGGCCCCATCAGTCAATGATGACATTTTAGTCCCTGCAAGCCCCATCAGTCAGTGATGGCATTTTAGTCCCTACAGGGGAATATGTTTCCAGCCACTAGCAGACACTAGTCAGAGGCCCCAACTAGTCAGAGATGACAGTCCCTGCTTTCAGCCACTGCAGACCCCAATGAGTCAGAGATGGCAGTCCCTGTTTCGCTTTCAACCATTGTAGGCCTCAACTAGTCAGAGATAGCAGTCCCTGCATTTTTATCGCTTTTAGCCATGCAAGCTCCATCCTTACTTCACGTTTGAAACATATGTACACCTTATTGGAAGCCAGAGTTACCACGTCTATTACCTCAACATTTTAGACAAGTTGATTTTGTTGGACTGAGTTTATTTATTCCAAGTTTGGCACATACAATTTGTATGCTCCAGCTTGAGAGGGAGTGTTAGAATATTTATCCTATTTATCATGATTATATTGTGTCTAAGATTATTCTATTTATCATCATTATATTGTGTTTAGGATACTTTATTTATCATGATTATATTGTGTCTAGATTACTCTATTTATGATATAAATAGAAGATTATGAAAGGATCAATCAAACCCTCAAAAATTATTTTAGAGTTTAATTCTCAAGTGTTTGGGTGTAGAGTCTTCATGAGTCGAAGAGAAGCGGCATGGAAGAGATGAACAAGGTGAGCATGCGAGACTCGAACTTGTCACGGGGTAAATCATGAGGTTCTCGATTTTGTTTTAGGTTTTGATTATTCTCCTTTGTTTTTTTAGCTTAGTTTCTTGATATTGGATCTCTAGTGGATATTAGGAAACTGGAATCCCCAGATGTTGGGATCCTGAGGAAGAAGCAGTGTTGATTGCCTTCTTCAATTAATTTATTTGTTGAAATCGCAAAACATGATAACTGGAGTTGCACAAATGGATGGTGGAATTCTTGTGGTTTTTGCACTAAATGAGCCAATGTCATATACTGCTTGCTCGGCAGGTTGTTATTTTATCAACATGCGAAAGTAGAACTCAGTTTTTATAAAATCTAACTAAATTACAAAACCAAAATACCATAACATGCATGGGTATTTTTCTTTCCTGTGTCAGGTTGGTGTGCCATTGGTCTACTTTCTAAATAAGGTTGATGCTGTTGATGATCCAGAGTTGCTTGAACTTGTGGAACTGGAGCTTCGTGGTACGAATTATCAGCTTATTGTTTTATTTGAATGGGAAGAAAATTTAATGTACTAATGATCATATATTTTCTACAAAATGGATGTGCATCGATTGACAAACCAAACTTTTTTGCAGAACTTCTCAATTTCTACAAATTTCCTGGGGATGAAATATAATGTGGGACTTCTTCTTCGTGGTCTGAAGCGCGATGATGTTCAGCGAGGAGTGGTGAGTGGGAGTAACTCAAGGTGTAAAGTAATATTTAACGTATCAAACATTAAAATACTATTATATATTATCATTTTCTGAAACTATCGTTTTTGTTCTTTGTAATGAGAAAAACCAGCTTCTAAATAATAATTGATTTTCGGAGAACATGTTTTAAGTAGGTTATAATTATATTTACGTCTTCTAATTATTTTTTGTTTTTTATGATTCAAAAGATGAGTTTTTTAAAGAAGTTTTTCTTTGTATGAAAACCTTAAACAAATATTTACCTTGAAAGTCACTTTAAGTCCAAAACTGGGCACGGTATATTTAAATTATAATAAAGTAAATAGTAGAGTTAACTTAACAGTTCAAATAATTAGTTAAATTCCTTACTTCACTTTAAATTATTTAATTTAAAATTACTTGAATAATATTTTATTAGAAGATAAGGTTTGGGTATTCATTTATCGGTGGCAATGAAAGTCATTTACAACATATATTATTTTTTCTGCAAAACTTCAATTAAGAAGTCCAACTGACATACTCAATGAATCTTTTACTGGGGAACCATATTAGGCAATGATTGAACTTTTACTGGCTTATCAGCCCTACCCAAGTTAGACAAGTGATGATTCAACCACTTTGTCAGCATCACTTGTTCAAAATACTACAAATTTTCTCATTTCTGAGTTCACCATGATCTTATATCTAGATTTAATCTGTAATAAAGCTGATCACAAAAATCTTTATATTCACTAGAATATTGTAAATTTTGAACTGCATGAACCTGAATCGTTAAAAATAAGTTTTTATACCTTAAATTGTAAAATGAAACTTATTTTTTATGAAGACTTTCCGGACTTACTTTATGCCACATGTGAATGCATGTGTAATTCATCTTCAATACAAGTGGAAAGTTATATGCATACATTTCTCTCTCCTTCAAAACTTCAAGCAATCACATTGTCTGCATAAAATTTGTCCTTTGTTTCTGTTTCTATTTTTCATTGTATTGTGATAAATTATTATAGTAAGTTTTTATTGTATATACGCTTTACTGTGTTTCTTTTAGAATGTGAAAATTGGGCAAAGAATGATAACCAGAACATAAATATTGTTTTGTGTTTTATATCAGTTTACATGCTCCTAATCAGAAACTTAGGGAGACAATTGTTCCAAGTGCAAAATCCTACTCGCTGGAAACTTATGTCAGACTGCAGAGATTACTTTCGACAAACCAACAGGCGGGTTTCCAGACTGCAGAGATTACTTTCGGCAAACCAGCAGGCGGGTTTCCTTCTGAATATGCACTTTTTTATGAATGTTTACTAGCAGTGAGACCTAATTTTTTTAACTATTTTTAATCATTTATAAATAATTAGATGTTTTAATATTACATTTTCAGATAGTAAATATTTTATGTGTAATTATGTTAAATAAATATATTTAAGAATTTTATTAGATAAATATTACATTTTAATGTGTTAATAGAAACAATAATGATTATTTTGCTCGTTATCGATTATTTAGACTTGTGTTCTGAAATTGAATTTTATAAAGGTGTACATATAAATAGTGATACATACAAATCAAATATCCTAAAAAAATCACTTCATATACTAGTTAAAGCCATAAAGATATAAAAAATTATCTTTTTACACGAGTTATAGCACCACCTGGTATAAAAGTGAGATTCTTTTATTCTGATACTTTCTATACCTGTTCTAGAACAAAACATAACTAACTGAGTCTTTTATGTCTGTATTAAATAGAGCGGGTGTAAAAAGTTAAATTTTTTATACCTGATCAAGAAACAGAATAAAGAAAGAAAACTTTTTATACTTACTCAAACACTAATGTAAAAAACCTTTTTTAATAGATGTAAAAAATCTTTTTTTAACAGACATAAAAAAAACCTTTTTGACATAATAACGACTACAAAATAACGGATATTCAACAAATTGTGTCAAAATTTTACATACCTATTAGAAAAAATTTATCTACATACTTCCAAGATACTATATCATCCTAACTATGCTTGTGTAATTTTCAATTTATTAACTGTTACACAATTATTACTCTCCTTAAAAAATAAAAAACAAAAAAAATCCAAATATCGCAATTAAAATATTAATCAACTACTTTTATCTGAGTTACCACACCTATCGAGGATCGTAGTCTAGTACCAAAACATATAACGTTGTACCCTAAAAATAAAAGATTTATTATATGGCTAAAATAGTGTGATGATCTTATCTTGGTTGTATTTATTCAGTTGTATAAAAGATGTTAATGTTCTATTTGTATATGATACATGTCTATTAGTAATATATTTTTCTAATTTTTTTCTTATGTGTCAAGTTTCTATCATAACACATGGCAATGGCAATGGCAACATGAGTGTTATATAACAATATTAGTTTCATGTCGTAATGTAAGCGTCACATTTTGTATTCAAATTAGTTATATGTTTATTTTTTGATTTAATTGAATTTCATTTTCTTTAAAATGAAATAATTTGTTCCTTCTTCAAAATATATCTGAATTAAATTAATTTACTTACCAATAAGTAAAAATAAGTTTGTTCAATTATTATAAATATTATTTGATTTATAAAATTGATTGAAGCAGAGAAATTAAGTTAAAAAATGTAAAATCATAACTATAAAATAGGTATTTTTTAATTTTAGTTAAAACATAAAATTAATTTTAATATTAAATTGAGTGATTTGATGTTTAAATTTTAAAGAATTATTTTAATATAAATATATAAGTTGTAATTAAATTTAATTAATAATTTTATTTCATTTTAGAAAGGGACAATATTGCTCAATAAAAATAAATGAGACTCAATAGAGTAAACAGATAAATATAGAAACGGATTGAATTTAATTTTTATTTCATTCAATTGTTTTGATCTTATAACTTTTTATAAAAAGTTTATGTAAATATTGTTCTGGTCCAATTATCGTTGTATTAAATTCTATATTTTCAAGTCTTCAAATATGGACACATGGATTTATTAGATTTGGAGTTTTATGTTATTCTATATGATTTTTTGAAGTGATGTATTTACCGAAGTTTTGTAAAAAACCTCAAAAACAAATCCAAATTTTCTGTTTTTTAGTTCTATAAATTTTTGTTCTTCTTATTTTCTTTCTTTTATTTCAAATTTCGTTTTGACTCTTTTTCTTTTTCACTTAATTTTGTTTTATGTTCTTCATCAAAAATTAGTTCTTAAAGATTAATTCATCAAATTAATATCAAAAAATCTTAATTAGGTTTTGCACTAGTCATTTGTCACTCAAAGTTTGTTTTTCTCTTATATAATTTTATATTTACATTTTTTAGATTTGCATTTTTGTCATTTCAGAAATAAAATTAAGAATTAATTGAATATTGATTTTATAATTAGATACAAATTAATGTGAATGATATTTTGAATTGATTTGTATAAATATTTTAATTATTGTTTAAAATTGGATCTGAATTCAAGAAGTTGTTTTGATCTATAAATTGATATTTCATGTTCATTATTTCTGTTTTTTAATCTGTTTACATTTTTTATTTTTGTTTTACATTTTTTTTTCAATTCCTAAACCCCATTTTAATTTATATGACAAGAATATTAAAAATGGAAGGAAATCAATATTTATGCTGTAAATTTTGATTTTAAGAACAATATTAGAAATTAACGAGGTTCAAATAAATCACTTAGGTTGACACGTCTTTCATGGTTAAATTAATAAAAATAAATATAATATTGAAAAAATGGTTAGGTTGAATTATTATGGAATATATATTAAAAAATTCATAAAATTGTCTCATTAATGAATATTTTTAGAGATATTGAAAATGTGAGTAGATATATTTTATGTATATGATATGATGTCTTATTATGAGATTTTTTTAACAAGTAAAACAAAGGCATTAAATACATTAAAAATACAAAAATGGAGAAAAACTATCACACGTAAGCCGATGACGACGATATATATAATTGTTGATAGATATAATTAAATAAAGAGAAGATTGAATAATAAAAAAATAAAAGACCACGAGAAAGATAACTTAATTTCGTGAATTATGCACATAAACGTTTACTTTATCAAGAGATAAATTGAGAAGTAAAGTGAATGTTGAAGTAGACTTCTGAACCGCAGCCATTATTTTATGTTAACGCAATTATTATCTCCATATATAATTCTACGATTTAAATTTAAATTAAGGTCGAAAATAAAAATATAATTAGATTACAAATATCATTTTATTTTATTAAGTTAGTTGGTAGAATTAAGTTAAACTTAAATTTTGATATTATAATATAAGAGTAAGAGGTTTAGATATGGATGATTTCACCCTAAAATCAATAAAGGAATTTATCTAGGATGAGTAGAATATATATATATATATATATATATATATATAATTTATATTAAGAACCAAACATATTTTTTTAAATAGCTTTAGAAAAAAAATATTTAATCATAAAAAATAAGAAGAAGAAAGTTACAGTATGAAATTAAATTAATAGTATTATTTGATCATAGTTACAAGGTACATTAGAATTGTAAAAAGAATGGTATTGAGATTCAATGGGATTGGAATGAAGAAGAAGCACACGACAAATAAGTGTGCATTATTTGTAAGCACCTTAATTTTTCTTAATAAAGAAGAAAGAAAGAAAAGATAAGAAATTAGATGAATTTGATGTTCTAACAATGATTTTTGTCAGTTTGTTTGTTTGTGGCATTGGTTGTTCCGTTCCCGCTCCTTACGTAAACTAACTATATACTCAAAATTAAGGGAAAGAAACTTATCCATTTTATTTAATTTTTCTCTGTCTTAGAGTTCAGATTTGTGATTGCGATTACGACCACGATCACCATCTTCGCCACTAATTTGCCTTCTCTCTATCTTGAATGTTGCTTCTGTCTAATCAACACTTTTCCATGACCTTTGCTTTTGATTTTCATCACACCACACCACGCTTCTCTGCTTTTCAAAACCAAATATGAAGTCACCTTCTCGAGTATCGTTTCTTTCTTCCCTTTTATTATCATCGTACTTTTGCTTCGATTCATGTTTCCCTTCTCTTTCTCTAAGACAAACGGGGCCACCGATAATCATGTTTTTTCTTCTGTTTTATTTTCTTTGATTCTTTCCTTTTTTTGCATGGCCTATGGCTACAATGGTTATGCCTCATTTGTCTTACATAAGGAATCGATGATGAAAAAATAATCATGATTTGTAAAACTTGTGAAAAAGGGTACCATAAAGGTCTTTAATTTTTATGAAAAAAACATTTTGTGTTGCTTTTATCTAACCTTGTCTTATGTTGGACCAGGCTTTGTCTGGTGGTGATTCAAAGAGTAAAAGATCATGTCTTTATGCCATGTTCCCGGCAGTTTCTTTAATTTGTGCTGTTATAATTTTCACGAGTTTGATCTTCTCATCACAGGTATATATGAACATCCTTTTCTCTTAACGAATTTGCCTTTGATTAAGTAGGATTCATCACATTCTTCCAAACTCCATGCAGCTGAGGCTATCAAGCTGGAAAATAGACGCTCAACAAACTGCAACAGTTGATAAATGCAAGGTTCGATTTCTCACCAGGCATTTATTTTTCTTGATCGTGTGCAATTTTTTCAGGTACTGAATTTTGGTGCTTAATATTTGTTTATATTGTTTAGTAGAACCAGTGCAGGCCTAAGGGTAGTGAGGCATTACCTGCAGGCATAGTGTCCTCCACTTCCAGTTTCGATTTGCGACCTCTTTGGGATCCTCCCACGCCTAGAAAGAGAGGTCATCACACTGTAGAACCTGCTGAAGGTGCTGCAGAAGTGAGTTTCTGTATATCTCTTTCTTGAATATGCAGTCTCTTTAATTTACACTCTTTTGGCATAGAGAGCTCATATCAATCATCACCACCACCAACACTGTGTTCATTGGTTATGTTCTTTTGGTTTCTTGGCTTTTGGGTTCTGAAACTGTATTTGAATTTTTATCAATCTGTAATTTTGGATTAAGTGCAATTTCTTTTGTCATCAACTGATCTGAATAGATAATACAGCTTACCAAAAATACTATCCATGATTGTCTTGTTACGTGACAAGTTATTAGACTGCCAATTATGTGTATCAATTAATATTTTACCTAATAGCTGAGGCTAAAAGTGGTAACTAAAGTTTTAGTGACTTTGGTTGGTCAAAATTGAAATTAAAGACTAAATGCCAAAATCTGAAAAAGTTGAGACAAAATAGATAAAGGTAGTAAACCCTTTTTTCTTTTCTTCTGGTATGGTAAGGATAAGCTAAATGCATCCAGCAGTTTGTTTGCGATGGCAGTTGGGATAAAGCAGAAAGACCTTGTGGACAAAATGGTCAAAAAGGTACTTTAATGAGTTTTGTACATATTGTTCATAACAAGTACTCTTGTTGTTTATCTGTCTGTAACTCTCTTTCTACACTACATTGCAGTTTCTAGAAAGTAATTTCACTGTGATGCTCTTCCACTATGATGGTGCTGTTGATGGATGGAATGATCTTGAGTGGAATAGTCGTGTCATTCATGTGTCAGTAAACGGTCAAGGCAAATGGTAGGTTTCTAGGGTGATTTCACATTCCAACAGACTCATATTTTGAATACTATTTGTTATTCTGAGTGTGTTTTTATCATGGACATGTTTTCAATGACTAGGTGGTTTGCAAAACGTTTCTTACACCCTGACATAGTTGAAGACTATGATTACATTTTCCTTTGGGATGAGGACCTGGGAGTGCAATACTTCCACCCAGATAGGTATGTAGAATTCCGTTTTAGCATTTGTTAATTGCAATTATATAGTTTGATGATCATGGCCTTTCATCCAAATATAACTATTCTGTCTCATGATTTATACCATATTTCTTAAACTATTTTCAGGTATATTTCTATTATCAAACTTGAAGGGTTAGAGATATCACAGCCAGCACTGGATCCTAAGAACTCAGAAGTGCATCATCAGATTACTGCACGTTTGAGGAGATCAACAGTGCACAGGTTCACTTCTATACATTTTCTATAAAGTTCATCTCATTTCCCCTATTTCTAGTTTTGCTTATGATTTTTTTGGGTTAAGGTAGTTTACCAAATACTAACCATATAATCAGTGGTGATGAACCTTTGTTGAAAAACTGAGGGAAGACAAGCCTATCTTGTGTTTTCCTTGAAATGATGTTGTTACTAGATAAGTGTGCTTTGAAGAAAATGCCTTTTTATGGATGCTTTTGGTCGTTGTGTTTGCAGAAGGACCTTCAGAGCTGGTAATGATGGTAAAGGGTGTGATAAAAACAGTACAGCTCCACCTTGTACAGGGTAAGATTTTAATGTTGTAAAAACAAATTTAAGGTGGATTTCCCTTTATTTAAACAGTGGAAGAAATAAAAGGTGAAGCAATTTGCTACAGGTGGATAGAAATGATGGCTCCTGTTTTCTCAAGAGCTGCATGGCGTTGTGTTTGGTATATGATTCAGGTGCTCCATTCTGTGCAATTAATGATGCTGTGGAGCATTACCATAAACATTGCTCTATACTGGTTCCAATTTATTCACAATCTGTGGTTTGATTTACAGAATGATTTGATCCATGCATGGGGTCTAGACATGCAGCTTGGCTACTGTGCTCAGGCAAGTTAAGCCATGTTTGGTTAAATTTGATATCCTTTTTCTATATAGAATAATACCATAGACATTGCTGGTACTATTTTCAAATAAAAAAATGAACTTTTTATTTGGGTAACCGTTGTTTTCATAGTGGCAACTAGAATCAAAGGCGATTAGCATGATGAAACACAAACTTTAATTAGAGAATAACGCTAACAAACTGTATTAAAACTTTTTCCTTTTTTCATTCTCCTTCTACTTTTACCTTCTTGTTCAATCTGACCTTATCTCTGATGGGTACAGGGTGATCGAACAAAAAGCGTTGGTGTTGTGGATTCTGAATACATTATCCACTACAATCGTCCCACCCTCGGAGGAGTAGATCAGACTGTGGTCAGAAAAATTGCATTCTTATTGGAGTTTAATTATGAAGAAATACTTGTTTTAATTTTCTAAATCACTATAATTTCTTAGCTCAATTCTTACCTTGTATGTGTATCTCGCATTCTATCTTCCTAGAAACTGAAGCTTAACTTTGTTTTGCAGCTTAAACCTCAGGAAAAGGATCACAGAGTAGACGTAAGTTACCATGGTTTGTCAATTCAAGTACTGTCTGAATGTACCTCAAAAAACACGCTTTTATCTGATTTTGATTCATAGGCTATACCTGTCAGATTTTTTTGCAAAACTTGTGCCTCTGGATGTGGTAAAGAAAAACAACTTTTTGGGGGGGTCCCCTTTGATGTTTGATGGAAGCCAATGAAATAGGCAATAATTAACCTTAAACTTGTTACCTTAAATGAATATAACTAATTGCTTTGCCATTTGGCTTTGCATGTTTGAGATTCTTGCACGAGAAAATTTTATGCCAAACATTTAGCATATATGAGTGATACATACTTTTTTCTGTCGTCACTAACATTAACATTCTGCAGGTGAGGAGACTTTCTTACCGGGAATTAGATATTTTTAGGAAACGTTGGGAAAAGGCAGTTAAGGAGGATGAATGTTGGGTGGATCCATTTCCACAGTCAGAGTAAGAATTGGATTGGCAGACAAATTTTATGTAAGTTTTGTACAGAAAAAAACATATTATATGTGAACAGAAATGCTACTTGAAGCTTCAGCAAGGGTGGATCATGAGTAAGACATACAGAGAAAGCTTATAAGATCACATGGACATGACTCCTGGAATAATTTTTTTTTCTTAAATAAGCTGGGTGCCTTCAGTGAAAATTTTCCTCCTTTTATTGGATCAGCTTTGAAGGGAAATAAAATAATGATAAGAGGGTAGTTAGAAACATGTAATTTAGATTATCCACCCTGTTTTTCTCTTGAGTAAACATTTTGCTGTCATTTTATGCTAATTTTGATTTGATAAAAGTAAGATGTCAACTTGTCAAGTTCATTTGAAAAGAGTTGATGAAGATTGAGTTTATACCATATGATCGTTCGTTTTATCTTCTTTTTGTTTCTGCTTGGATCATCACTTTATTCAACATTCTCCTTCACAGAACATATTACAAGACAGTCACAGATTTTGGATCTGAACGATAACAAGACGTGATGCAGTTTAAGATTTCAATAACAGACAAATTAGTAGTGGTCACTGGCCAGTGAACTTTTATTCCCCTTCAAAACTACCAAAACGTTTACTGTTTTCTAAGTTTTCAGTGGCATAAAATGATTTCTGCAGCAAGATAGCAACATCAATATAGCTCAGGCAAATCTTAAAGGGTGTTCTTAGGTTATAATTGAAGAAATAAAAGTAAAAAAAAAAATAATGAGAACGAGAATACATATTGAATTAAAAATATAAAAATAATTAATAGAATGCACTAGCACCTTCAAGAGAACTTGGTCGGAGGACACTTCAGAAAATATTAAAACAGCCACAAGCAATTCCAGTTGGATCCTTAAATTATCCTTACAACAGTGCATGGATTGCTGCGAAATGAGGTCAGAAAGATTCCAAAACACTCTTCTTAAGATGCAGAATTTAGTTGCAACAATCCAAACCAAAGCCCACAGCCACAAATTTACCAGTACAGAAGTGCAATATTCTTGCTTTATTAATAATTGACATTATAGAAGCAATGGCATTAGTATCATAAAACACATAGAAAAGGGGGAATAATACACATACCTAGGCTAATTGCATTGATGCACGAACCATCATGAATAAAAAAATAGCAAAACACATTACAAATGTGGCAGGTTTGTAGCTAAGGCTTCAATATCCTATTCTCCCACCACACCGCACCCCAATATAATACCCGAATTAGTATAATGATTCGAAGGTGAAAAACTGTGATTAACTTTAGGGAAGTTGCAAGAGAAACAACTAAAGATGGCATTGAAAGCAATTGCATGTTTTAGGGGTGAAAGAGCAGAAGCCAAAAGGTCTATTGGGAATGTTGCAATTGATGGCATAGCAACATGGAGAGGGCAAGCAGATCCCTTTGGCTCCACCACAGCAGGTGCATAGTGCGCATATCTGGAAACTTCCCAATCTTCTCCGGCTCTCATTCATCATCATCTGCATGGATGCTGCTGCACCACCATTTGCCTGCTTATAATGAAGATTAAGAAAATTGAGCTACAAATTTTGACACATTCATTTGGATTTAGGGGAGAGGAAGAGGAGAGAAACTCACATTCACATTGGGTAAGAAAATAGACAGAAAAATGAGAGAGATGACGAGGCCACGAGCGTGAGCAGAAGAGGTCATCTTGACAAGTGCTTCCTAGGTTGGTGGTGATGGAGAGCGAAGAGTTTAATGAACTACAGAGCTAGCTTTGCACACTCGAGTTGGACCAGGGAAAAGACTGCAGAGGAAACACAAGAACAAGTGTTTAATTTGAAAGCAGAGACCACAGAGTCTGACCCCTGTTGTCTCCCCACTCTCTCTAGAGTTAAGACTACAGATGATAATCCCATGGGATTTATTCACAATGTTACCACTTTTCTATTAAGAGTTTTGTCCAATAAAAATTTTACACATACTTTACCTTCACTATTTTATCTTTTGTTTTCTTTTATAAATATAAAGGTTATCTTTTTTTTTAAAATCAAAATATTCTAAAAAGTAAATTGTCAAGTGATGTCAAGAAAATATTTTTTCAGTGGACAACTTCAAACCTTGCACCACTGTATAATACTCCAAAACATCCATACATAAAAGTAATTAACCGCATAATACTTTCGAATAATAACGTTGTTCTCATTGCACTTTCTATTTTATGGAAACACTTCCCTCAATTGGTTTTATGTAGGCGTAGATTTTTTTCATTTTGCGCAATGAATATAAGCAATTACATATCATTAATGTAAACAGCCATTTCACATAAAACAATTATACGAATTTACATATAACAAAGCTATTTTGTTTCAAAAAATTCTAAATCGACAAAATTTCTATATATTTTATCCAAAACATACTAAGATTTCTGACTGGTTGACGAGATGTCAACCATACGATACCTATAATTTGTGAAAGTTTAGGCCATGATTAAAAAGATGTCTGGTGGCACACAAACCACATCACATCGAGCTTACGTTGGAAAATAAATTATTACAAGATCGTGAGTTGTTATTGACTAAATAAATATTGCTTTTGGTGTTACTGTTATTCTTATTATTTACATTTTTTCACTTTAATCAACGATCATGTTTTGCGTTACTCTCTTTTTTGGAAGTGGCTAAGTCTTAGACGTGCTTTCGTTTTCAATTTGATTTGACAGAGCTGTAAAGATTGTCGGTCATAAAAATTATTTTCGTCTTAACAAGCTTTCTTTTCACCTCGACTTCCATTATATATTTTCGTCAGCACCTGCTTGGTCGTTTAACTGCAGTTGCACGTACATCGCACGTGTACAACCCCACGCTCGGTCTGATATCAACAATGATGAAGCGGAAAATACTGTGAATCTAAGCAAACCCCAACAAATTTAGTCTGCTTCACCGAATAATGAAGAAAATCCTTCCTCTACTCAGTCTACACGATTACTCTGCAGTAATGGTAGAAATTATATTATTTTAGGGATAAAAAAACTGCCAAAAGTCGATCCAATAATTATTTTTGCGGGTATGCAGTAAACTAGCAACTCTCATGACAAGGTAAACCTATAAAAGAAAGAATAGGATCAACAGCACCTGCATGAGTTTAGTTATAGAACAAGCAAATAATTTGATTAGGGATACCATACTCGTGTTATCTTCAGCTAAAGAAAATGCGACTTTCTAAAGCTTCCATTAAAGATATAAATTCCAGATTATGATTTGATGCATGTTAACTGCAAACCCAACTCCAGAAATCCACCGACCTGTAATGGGACCATGAAATTTATGGCCTGAAACCCACAGCATTCTCTACAGGAACAAAAGTACCATATGTGTTGAGATTTGGCATATTGGAAAAAGTACATCAGTAAGGTTCAGCTTTCACTGCCGCAACATTCATAATCAAGACTTTCTACCTTCCAACTTCTGCAAAACAAAATCTGTCAAGGACAAACACCACAGATAGTACGCATAATAAGGAGAATATAGAGCTACAGATTTAAATTACATTCCTCCAGTTGATATTTACTCGGATCGGATGTACAAAATCACAGTTTAATTCGATCAGCAAAATTCTGGTAAGAATGTACAAGAATATGAAAAATGGAAAGATTCTGGCGATACTGTTTGCTTGCTATTGAAAAGAATTCCATACATGCACAGTAGACAGCATAAACCCAACTGCAGTGGGAGTAAGGTTTTTGCAACGAGTTTCAATCCTGCAACCAATAAATATCCAGGAGGTAAACTTTGGTCATTACAGATTTCCAGAAGGAGGTTTTTACATAGTGTGAAAAGTTAATTAGAAAGAAAGATGGCTTCAGAACAGAAGGATTGTTCACATTGGGTTGGACCTAAGGTGACAACATTTGCTTAAGTTTATCCAATGAGCCCGGTAACATGAAACCAGAACAAATGACTCTGCCAACTGCATTTAATTTTATTGACAGAATCAAAAACATATATGACCTCTGTACATCTCCAGCAATGGAAAATTAATTTACAGATTAGTCATCTCTCCCCTTAAAAAAATTGTAAAAGCTAAATGACCCATTTTCAAGAGACATCATCATCCATCATCATCAATGTCATCATCACCAGATGGTATCTGTCTTGTCTCTGATAATGAAAGCCGCCTGGGCGTTGCTGAGCTCGATTCACCAAGTCCTTCCGAAGATAAATTTAACGCAGCAGTTCCTGATGAAGATCGTAGCAGATGCCTGCTCTGGGCATCAGCTGAAGGCGATGAAGAGATATTATAGGTGAAAATTCCCATTGGGTGGTCAAACTTGCAACTTGGGCCAAATTTGCATATGCCATAACGTGAATAGAAGACACACAAAGGTTCTCCCTGTAACAAATGGGACACTGCCTCGTATCAGCTCGCTCTAATTCAATTAAAACTGACAAGACCAAACTAGTGAAGAGAATGATGACACAAATATTTGCAGATCATCCCATTTTCTCCAATTACCACAAACAAATAACCTTTCCACGCATTTATCCAGTCCAATGAAGGAAAATATGAGAATACACAAAAATACTATACAGACTTCACACCAACTTAAAAATAGTTAATATGCAAATACACCATGTCCATATTTTGTGAATGATATGATAAATCAAGAGCCAAAGGGAGAAACCCTAACGCTGTCAGTCATCATAGTTTGATTAAGATAATATAACAAATACATACTTCGAACTACTCAAAATAATTACCCTTCTCAGCATCCTCTGTGGTGTCTATGTAACTGCTTCAAACCATTCCAACTTAGTTTGGCTTCAAATTATTTTCAAACTTAAAACAACAATTTTCAATGTTCACATTATTGTATTGCCACATGCAATTCGATAAGCATTTTGCTATATAATATGATTCAATCCATGCATATAAAGCTATATGTAGTAGAATTATGAGTGCCACTTCCTAACAAACAAGGTCATGTCATGTAAGGAAAAAAAAGGAAGGGATCCGAATCCAAGAGGTAATGCAAAAATAATCAAATAACAAGTCCTATGAACCAAGGAAATTTATGGAGACTAAATCTGAATCAAATTGTTGTCAAACTCAAAATCCTGAAAATTATAATGAAGAATAAAATCTGAAATAACAAAATTTACACCTAGGAAAAACAACTAGGCAGATAGAATTCCATAGCAAGAACCCAACTCACCGGACGTAAAGGAAGGCCCATGGGACTCAAGACACAGTCAGGAGCAGGAATTAGCCTTTCGCTTGGGTGGTGGAACCGACAGACTGCACCAAACTTGCAATCTCCAGTCTTCATGTAGAATTGACATTCTGGTTGATCAGGTCTCTCAGGAAATATGTTTTCCCTCTGCAATGCATAAAACCCTTCTGGAACAGTGCCAGAACGGAATTGAGAGTATGCTCCATGTGATCCTGCGTTTGCTAGCTCACCTTGGCGAGAAGTTCCATATGTTTGACCATTTCTCATTACTTGCTGATGACTGTCTGAAGTAGAGATTGATCCCACTTGACCCTGAAAAATAAATATTCTATCAAGACATTGAATCAGCCAGGGCAGGTTCTAACAAAACGGTTATGCACATATGCACCATGTTGCATTATTACAGAAGTGAAAGGAATATCGCCAATTATGTTGAGAGACAAATACCGTGAAATTTCACACCAACAGAGTTTCTGCATCATTTTTACAGGGGAACAATGATCATATTGATGGAAACAAATGACCTTCTACGTACATTTAACATAAACCCATATGACATGCCTTAGAACCAGTCAAAACACAGAATAAGACTATGTTGTTCTTGTTTGTTTCCTATGGAAAGAATGGGTGAGCTTACACCATATGCACTCCACCCAGGCACCGAAACCACTCCCTGAGGAAGAATTAAGGGTGCATAACTTGAAGGACCCTGCCAGCGAAGACTAGGGATGTATGATGCCCTTGACCAATTTGTAATTCCTCCTGCATACGACTGCTGACCTGGTGTAGTTGGAGAATGGACAGTAGGGTAAACAGAAGAATCCTGTAATGAAAGCATCATATTACTCGGTTGAGGATGGTGGAATTTGCAAGTGTTTCCAAATTTGCATTGTCCTGTTCTCAAATAATAAGTGCATTCAGGGTCATTCTGCAGAATCAGGAGACAAAGAAAACATTTTGTAAGTTATATGAACACTAATATCAATCAGAAAGCAAGTATAATTTCTATAAAGCTCAGAGGTCAGATATTAAATATCTGCATCAAGTACACAAATTTTTTGAAAGTATAACCATAATATGCAGGTCTGACAATTCACTGGTTACCAAATGAGTTAAGATACAATAATAAGCTACAAATTCATGAGCAACTACTATTGTAATCATGATTATAAATGAATAAATATTAAAAACTAACAGGTCGGAGCGGATAGCCTAAAGTATTTAAGGCAACTCTTCCAGCAATCCCAGCCTGATCTTTAGGATGATGAAATTTGCATGTGGCGCCAAATTTGCAAGTTCCTGTCTTCAGATAGTACTGGTAAACAGAAAAAAAAAAAAAAGACATCTTCGTTATGGTGATTGGTGAATGATTAAATAAAGATAGACATTAGTGCTCCAAAGATCAAGGTTGATGTTAACACTTAACATCTCTATTACTCATAAAGAACAAAAATACAAAATCAATAAGAAAATCTGATCAAAATAAGCGTGCATAGTCTAGCATGAAGTAATATAGTAACTAGAGCTCCTGTTGATATCAGAGCTTAAATAAAGAATTAGCACATGCTATTAAGAGCTGAATGGCACACATACGTGCAAGCCATACATATATAACAATCAGTTATTCGGAATGACAAGAACAAGAATTTCTGTTTAATCCACCTTAGCTTTTCAATTGTTCAATTGGTTTTTTGATATACAAATATACATACAGACATATATGGAATGACAAGAACAAGATTTTCTATTTAATCCACCTTAGCTTTTCAATTGTTCAATTGGTTTTTTGATATACAAATATGCATACACACATATATAAATATAAATATATGTTGGTTTTTAATTAAATAAAAGTTGGTTTTTAATTAAATAAAAGCCAAAGTAAACTGAATCTGATTACAACAATAGCCACATAATTTAGGCAAAGTCACTAACACACAAGTTTATGATTCTTCCCTTTCCCCCTACACCTTCATTCTCCACAACTTTCAAATTCACTGACAGCTTTAGGCTAGCCTTCCACGGTCACAAGAACCATATCCAGTGTCAATCCAAATCCAACAATTAACCCCACAAAGATTGATATGATTTAGAGAAATTGCTAAACTCCACCCAAAAGGAGACGATTCCCAGACCACGCAAACAAATAAGCAACATACACCTTATGCATGCATTGAGAAACTAATACGTGCCTGACATTCTGGTTGTCCTATTCTTTCTGGGAACTCGCCTATCATCCTTGCAGTAGCAATAGCCTGATAGGAGATCATCAGTATTAGTAATTATATTCACCATGTAATAAAAATGATATAAAAATAAAAATAATCAACAACACAGTATGATTCAACATTATGTAGCTCCAGTAAAGTGAAACCATTAAATGTGAAAAAAGAGCATGTATGCGAAAAGCCAAAAAGAGCTGCGTCAAGAAAGGAAGATACAACAGAGTAACATCTCCCCAGTGTTTATGTGCATCTTTCTGTGATAAAATGCTGTCATAATCCAGTACAACGAATAGAAATGCACGTGTTTTGCATAGTAAAAAAGCTAACCAAAAACATGGGATGGACACAAGATGTTAGAGGACAACAGCAGATAGTTTCAAGTGTGCATAGCTTTGACCAACTAGAGAGATTTTAATATTTTATTTTGACAATAGGAAGGATTGAAAATGAATCCGTCTGAGAGCAAGAAACATCATCTAATTTAAACACATATATCATAAAATTACAACATAATTTGTAGAAATAAATGCATTCCAACTCGTACCAGCTTCCTGTTAGGAGGATGATTAAAACGACACGTTGCACCAAATCTACAGAGTCCAGTTCTGATGTAATATGAACAGTCTGGCTCCCCTGGACGTTCCGGATAAGCTCCAGAATCCATTGTTTCGCCACTCCTCAAATTCATCATCCACAGTGAATCTGAAACAACATCATACACGCGTGAACAGCATGATGTAAGCGAAACTGAAGCCACATCATCAATGCACACAGTGGCTACAAATACCAAACCTACAATCACAAAAAATAATAAAAACTGTCGGTGCAACTACCGTTATCACGATAAATAACTACAATAATCATTTTTAAAATGTTCACAAAAAAAAAAACAAAACAAAAATCAAACACCGCTTCAATAGAAATCGAATTTGATTCTCGCAGCAGTTTAAATCCAGCACAAAAAAAAATATTGATCTGAATTGAACACATGACATCTCCTAACTCTAACGCAAAGCATTGGAACACGAAATGTTACTTTCTTAAACCAACGAATTCAATTTGAAAAAACGAAACGACAAAAGAGAAAAGATATTAAAAAAAAAACCTTGTCTTTGAGAGATAGGGGAATTGCGGCGTGGAATGATTCCATGAGGTTGAGCATCAGGGATGATGACGTTGAGCTTCTTCTTCTCCATTCATAAGCCTTTCAATTCTCATTTCCCACCTTCTCCACCCCATTCCTCAAAAGAGAAACTTCTCCTCTCCACAAACCTCACCACAACTCTCATCTCTTCTTTCTCTCTCTTCTCCCACACGTGCCATCTCTTTTCCCTTTCCTTTTTATTTCTTTTTTTTAATTAAACCAATAAACAATTTTCGTTTATTTAATTTATTTTTATTTTAAAGTGTGAATTTAAAAAAAGAAAATGTGATTATACATAGAAAATAGCCTCTTTCTTCTTAACCTATGACCTCACTCACTCCTCACTCCCTCGCACGCATTTCTTTTTCTCGCTATCGCATTAATTGGTGCCGCCAACTCAAACCACAAACTCTCTCATTCTTTCCGCCTTTCTATGGTTTTCAACTTTTGTGCAAAACGACATCACCTGCTTTTACTCTTTTTTATTCCTCTCCTTTCTTTCTATAAATAAAAAGTTCATGGACTATTATAATAATACTTTGCGTCCATATTATTATAATTCAATTATAAATTTATTACGAATTAATTAATATTTTCATTGATTGATACTTAAAATACCGATTCACAAAACGCCAAGTGATTTTAAATAAGTTAAAGATTAAAAAGAAAGTATGGCACTGTTGATAATATAGAAAAACATTAATAATTTTTAAAAGCATATAAAATAAAATAAAAGTAGAATATTAAAATTTGTTTTAATCTTGTTTTGTTTCTACTTTTAAGTAGTTTTATAATAATGATGTGATTGCAATGATGTCATTATGGTTAATGTGACAATTTTTACAACGTTATGAGAAAAAATCATAACATTTTGGTTGGGGACACGGAATGGTAACGTCATCTTTAATTACTTTTTATAAAAAAAAACGTAAAGAAGAAAAATAAATTCAACTTCTTATAGATAAAAATTAATTTAAGCACAAGTTAAGGGGAAATTTATACAAAAATGTTTTTTAATATTTGTTTTAAACTTATAATAAAATAATTTAATTTGCTTTTCCAAAATCAATAGTAATGAATTTCATTTAGGTGACATTATCAATGGACAAAATCATTAGTTGGTTATTTTTTGTTTACAAGAGAAAGAGGATGACTAAAAATATACTTTTTTTTAATAAACTGTTGTAAAATTTAATATATTTTTTTTTATGTTTTGTATTTAAAATTGCACCTCATGGACAACTTATTAAATTTAAGTCGATTGCGCTTGACTTAAATTTTAAATTGTTTAATTTTATAAGTTTGACTAGGCTTATGTCAAATAAACAAGTTATTTTGGTTTGCTATACAAAAATAATAAGAAAAAAATGTATTTTTATATTTAAATCTATTAAGAAAAATAATTTTAATTTTAGATAGACAAGTTAATGTGTATAATCTATAATACATATGTATATGTTTTAATAAATTGCTTTTTTAATATTTTAATAAAACTGTTCGAAGCGTTTCTTCCTTAGTTTGAAGATTTTGATTATTAATATTATATTTGTAGTACGATGATATGAGCTTGAACAAACTTACATCTCTTCATCTGGAAAATATACTCTTTATAACACTTAAAACGTAAGCCATGTTCGGTTATTTGCGGGACGAGAGTTAACTTCCCGATCAACTTCTAACGTGGGGGAAAAATCTAGTGTGCCCAATCTCATCTACTTTTGATCTATATTGGTCGGTTGAATGAAATTTATTTATTTTTTATCTGTATTTTATAATTTTTCCAAATCAGATTTCTGATTTAGTTATATAGATTTTAAAAATAAAAAAATCCGAATTTTAAATCCAGATTATATTCAGTTAAAAAAATAATCTGATCCAATCTTCGATTCAATATTTAAGAACCCTATATCCTTCTGTTGCTTCTCCTTTGCAATTCACTCGAAATTTTTCAAAATTCCAAGACCCTAAATCCTCTTTGCTGCTTCTTCTTTGAGATTTCTCTATTTCAAAATTTCAGGAACCCTAATTCCAAATTGGTTTTTCACGAAAAAAAAAATCTGGATCCAAAATCTGATCTACAGATTTGAATTAAGATAGAATATAAATTAGATCTTTGAAATTCAAATCAATGCTCAATATTGTTTATGGGGGCTTAGTTTGAAAATTTTTCAAACACTTGATTAATTTTTGAAACACTTAAAATTGTATAATCAAAATAAGAATATTAATTTTCAAACACTGGATTAATTTTTCAAAAACTTAAAATTGTATAATCAAAATAAGAATATTACTTTACCATTTTTTTTTATAAAAAACAAACTATGGTATGAATTACTTATGTTTGTCGAAAATATCAAACAAAGTCATGAGAGTTTTTTCAGTCCATTTAACTTATAACATCTTAAATTTGTAATACAATGTTTTAATCATATTATCTTTATCCAAAAAAGAAAATACTCTACTATTTGTAACATCAAATGACTATTTAACTAAAAAATAAAAAGAGATCAAAGTTTGTACATATATGTAACATTTTTTTTATTTCTTACAAAGTAAATAAATAAGTTTTTTGGTTGTTAGATTTATTTGAAGTGATTATATTCTCATTTTAATGACCTCAAAAATACATTAAGAAAAACATATTATCTTTCACAAAATTAACTTGTAATTCTAAACTGGTTTTATTATTATTAAATAAAAATTATTAAGATATAAAATAAATAAAAATTTTCTAAGTAAAGTATTATTTGATATTTGATTTTTATTGTTGTGATGAAATGTGACAAAGAAAAAAAAAGGAAAAAATAAAATAAATTTCCTTAAAAGAATATATATATATATATATATATATATATATATATATATAATTTCCAAACTTTAACTTAAGATCCGAAGAGTTTTATACATATCTACATCCCTCTTTGCTTTTTCATAGCCTTCACAAAACATCTCTAGAAAATATTTTTCAAATATTGGTTTCTAGATAAATGTATGTTTTAATATAGTAATAATTTGAATCAATATTATGTTAATAATTACAAGCAATATTGTTAATGATATTTAGAAATAATATCTTAGTATAGTTTGTTGATTGAGTTTTTTTTTAAAGAGAAAGATATGATCCTAACAATGGACAAAGTTTCTCACAAAAAGTATAAAGAATGATAAGTTCTCACATAAAAGGGGTTATGTCAACGACTATTGCCAAAGAAGAATTAGCAGAGTACTAAAAGCTAAGAAGATATGTCATCTTCATACTTTTTTTTCTCTTTTATTATACTTTGACGTTTTTCTTCTAAGTGCATTATTTTTAGTACACACAAATAGTTTGTTTTTAAAATCATAAAAAGAAGGTCTTCCCACATGTCTCTTAGTATTGGTTAGATCCCTTGATATTTTCAAATTTTCTTAAAAAATATACATATTAAATAAATAATTCTAAAAAATAAAGAATATTTTCTTACTATATAATTTCCATTTTAAAAAAATACTAAGTCTTAAAATTAAAGATAAAGATGTTTTCACGTTCATAAAAATATGAGCACTCGTGTTATCGTCCGCATTGTCCCACCATTTCTAAAATACCGAAAAAAAGTACTAAAATCTTTAAAACCAAAAATATCAAAATTGTTAAATAAATTTTCTTTAAAAGAACTACGTAAACCTAATTTATCATAATGAGAATACGTAGGAGCGAAGTCAATCATTTATAAAACAAAAGAATATATTTGTTTCTTTATAATATTGTTTTTTTTGAAGAAAATTAAATATTTTGAAAACCACGTCAACTTTGTACAGTTAATTAAAGGTACTGTCTTCTTTAGGCAGGCACGCGGTAGCGTACTAATGTCTTTCTTAGGTGTAACCGATTTCCGAATCCAAAATTCAGTTTTCGTAGACTATGTCTTACTTTATGATTTTCCATAATTTTTCAAGAATAAATTATGGTGGCGACTCCCAAAACCTTTTTTCTTAAATCTGTTTATTTCATAATATTATTTTTTTGAAGAAAATTAAATATTTTGAAAACCACATCAACTTTGTACAGTTAATTAAAGATATTGTCTTCTTTAGGCAGGCGCAGTAACATACTAATGTCTTTCTTAGGTGTAACCGATTCTCGAATCAAAAATTCACTTTTCGTAGATCATGTCTTACTTTATGATTTTTCATAGTTTTTTCAGAATAAATTATGATGGAGACTCCCGAAACTTTTTTTCTTAAACTTGTTTATTTTTAGTTCATAGTTATGTCAGGATCCGATTGCGACAAAATGTTTATGAGAGACAACAATTCCTTTGTAATGTTTTATGTGATGAAACCAATGAAAAAATATTTTAACCTTAACCATTATTTGATATAGTAAATCTATCATTATTATGATGAAAATCATATAGACAAGACAATTTGGCGTAAAACTAGTTTCCTTAAATGTCTACCATAATTTTAGCAGCTTTCTCATTGAAGTCATCCATTTTAGAATAACTCGTAACAATTAAGGTCGTCTTGTAATCCATGTTTAGCATTGTCCACAATGAGTCAATATATGATTGCTAAGCTGCGCAACTTATAAAGCATAATAAGTAATAAAATAAAACACAGTGATAAGAGTCTCGTATAATATCTAGCTTGAAAGATGCTTTTTTTAAATTTAAAATTTTAAGCATAGATGCACTCAATGATGCTTATCACTGAGCATTAATTTAATGCAACTCGATTATATAAGAGTGAAGATTTCCATCCTAGAGGGAATAATAGTAAAAAAAAAAATGACACAAATATGGAGAAACATAACAAACATTGATAAAATTAAAAATAATAGAATAAGTAACTAAATTACGATTTAAGATGCTTAAGATTTTGAGTTAATATATAATCATTATTTAATATTTATATATCCTAAGAGGACCGATATCCTTGTATCTTTATAATTTTTCATTGCTGAAAAACAAAACGTAAGTGATCCATGTATGCATCTGAAAAAAATATTTACGAAGTATATACTATTATTATTATATCAGAAGAAAAAGATGAGATAAAAAATCCCACAATATACTAAAATCAGGTTTGCAAAATAGCCTTTATGAAAGTGTTGCTTCTTTTAACTTCTTCGAAATCACTTATAAAATTAATACCGAGTTAGTAGTATTTGAAAAACTGCTTTGAATAACTTTTGAAAAAGGATTGACTTTG